AATTATCGTAATTAATTTTCCGATGACAATTCTGATACAAACAACAGATAAGAGAAGTTAATCTCCGAATTCTCACGGTTTATTAAAACACACTGTATTGAGCGAACACTGACACCACTTCCAAACGTACATTTCAGTGTTCTGGTGAATCGATCCTGTGGTAGGCGGCAAATAATCATATCCTAGTCAAACTTGTATCACAAACTCATCGTAAAGGGTTCTGTGTGCACAAGTTGGATTATTTATGTGAGAACAGTGTCCTCGCACCTGACATACGAATAACACCTGAGACAATATTACCTTTAATCAATCACTCAGACTTGTGAATTCGGTTAACTATATTTCAGTAACTATCGGTTCCTCACAGTCATACGTGTGTATACTGGTAATCAACCGGTGCTTGCACTATGCATACATACACTTGTTGTCTAATCGATTATCACTTATCTGTAAATTAGTGGGGGGAGGAGATTTGGCACGTCACCGGATGCGACTTATTCTCACTTCGTCCTACTTAAAGCATTTCGCTTTTCTTCAATCACAACAAGTTCTCATCAAGCAACATCTCAGATGCTCCTCAACAAGATTGTTCATTTGATAGACGTCCTGTGAATGAATAAACACTGAATTGGTGTAATCAACTGGTCAAATTATACTACATCATGTAATCTACTTGGTGACGCATTTCACAAACTTGGTCAATAAAATCAACACTACAGTTCTGAGGAGAACACTTGTTCACAACGTGAGAATAATCCAATCAAGTCAGTTCATTTGATCACCTACTAGCTATAATCCTGTCTAAATCTTGAATTGTGAACCTATTTATTCTACTATTTGTCTTAACTCCAATACACTTTCTCCTGGATTTGTGCTATTAAATATATAGTCACATCGATTATCCCTTGTTATAATTTGGTAAAATGTGATCAGTCGAACCGAAGCACTACACACTTTGCAACTTTCTCATCCAACTGTCATTAGCATGAATAAGGAGGTTGGTTGGATCGAGGAAACTTGGATGTCTACAAATATAAGTGAGAATACTACCAACCGATTGGTACAACGGATAGAATGAGAAATATAATCGCTTTCCACCTTGCAATTCCACACACTACATCGTCACTTAGCAGTAATCAGCTAGCCACAATCGACAGACCGAATTAGTCAGATGCTGTCAATATCCACAGGAAACCTGTCTCCATCAACCACAGCTGGGAACCAACCATAGGATATATTGAGAATAGTGTCAATCCACTACAACACCAGACAGAGTGACTAGATGTGGTCTGACACTTCACTGACCAACACCTCTAGATAAGTGATTGTCACTTGATGTCTCCTCCATGCAACATGTCTTGAAAGACGATTCAGACTGATTCTCGAATCACTCATCCAGTATATCGCTCCTAATTTATTATCTAATTATTTTCGTGCTTACACATATTCTTTCCATTCTACTTGATAATTTAATTTAATAACAACAGCTCCTCCAACCATTTGTCTTTCCTTTCCGATCTGTTCACACCAGTGAATTATCGTAATTAATTTTCCGATGACAATTCTGATACAAACAACAGATAAGAGAAGTTAATCTCCGAATTCTCACGGTTTATTAAAACACACTGTATTGAGCGAACACTGACACCACTTCCAAACGTACATTTCAGTGTTCTGGTGAATCGATCCTGTGGTAGGCGGCAAATAATCATATCCTAGTCAAACTTGTATCACAAACTCATCGTAAAGGGTTCTGTGTGCACAAGTTGGATTATTTATGTGAGAACAGTGTCCTCGCACCTGACATACGAATAACACCTGAGACAATATTACCTTTAATCAATCACTCAGACTTGTGAATTCGGTTAACTATATTTCAGTAACTATCGGTTCCTCACAGTCATACGTGTGTATACTGGTAATCAACCGGTGCTTGCACTATGCATACATACACTTGTTGTCTAATCGATTATCACTTATCTGTAAATTAGTGGGGGGAGGAGATTTGGCACGTCACCGGATGCGACTTATTCTCACTTCGTCCTACTTAAAGCATTTCGCTTTTCTTCAATCACAACAAGTTCTCATCAAGCAACATCTCAGATGCTCCTCAACAAGATTGTTCATTTGATAGACGTCCTGTGAATGAATAAACACTGAATTGGTGTAATCAACTGGTCAAATTATACTACATCATGTAATCTACTTGGTGACGCATTTCACAAACTTGGTCAATAAAATCAACACTACAGTTCTGAGGAGAACACTTGTTCACAACGTGAGAATAATCCAATCAAGTCAGTTCATTTGATCACCTACTAGCTATAATCCTGTCTAAATCTTGAATTGTGAACCTATTTATTCTACTATTTGTCTTAACTCCAATACACTTTCTCCTGGATTTGTGCTATTAAATATATAGTCACATCGATTATCCCTTGTTATAATTTGGTAAAATGTGATCAGTCGAACCGAAGCACTACACACTTTGCAACTTTCTCATCCAACTGTCATTAGCATGAATAAGGAGGTTGGTTGGATCGAGGAAACTTGGATGTCTACAAATATAAGTGAGAATACTACCAACCGATTGGTACAACGGATAGAATGAGAAATATAATCGCTTTCCACCTTGCAATTCCACACACTACATCGTCACTTAGCAGTAATCAGCTAGCCACAATCGACAGACCGAATTAGTCAGATGCTGTCAATATCCACAGGAAACCTGTCTCCATCAACCACAGCTCGGAACCAACCATAGGATATATTGAGAATAGTGTCAATCCACTACAACACCAGACAGAGTGACTAGATGTGGTCTGACACTTCACTGACCAACACCTCTAGATAAGTGATTGTCACTTGATGTCTCCTCCATGCAACATGTCTTGAAAGACGATTCAGACTGATTCTCGAATCACTCATCCAGTATATCGCTCCTAATTTATTATCTAATTATTTTCGTGCTTACACATATTCTTTCCATTCTACTTGATAATTTAATTTAATAACAACAGCTCCTCCAACCATTTGTCTTTCCTTTCCGATCTGTTCACACCAGTGAATTATCGTAATTAATTTTCCGATGACAATTCTGATACAAACAACAGATAAGAGAAGTTAATCTCCGAATTCTCACGGTTTATTAAAACACACTGTATTGAGCGAACACTGACACCACTTCCAAACGTACATTTCAGTGTTCTGGTGAATCGATCCTGTGGTAGGCGGCAAATAATCATATCCTAGTCAAACTTGTATCACAAACTCATCGTAAAGGGTTCTGTGTGCACAAGTTGGATTATTTATGTGAGAACAGTGTCCTCGCACCTGACATACGAATAACACCTGAGACAATATTACCTTTAATCAATCACTCAGACTTGTGAATTCGGTTAACTATATTTCAGTAACTATCGGTTCCTCACAGTCATACGTGTGTATACTGGTAATCAACCGGTGCTTGCACTATGCATACATACACTTGTTGTCTAATCGATTATCACTTATCTGTAAATTAGTGGGGGGAGGAGATTTGGCACGTCACCGGATGCGACTTATTCTCACTTCGTCCTACTTAAAGCATTTCGCTTTTCTTCAATCACAACAAGTTCTCATCAAGCAACATCTCAGATGCTCCTCAACAAGATTGTTCATTTGATAGACGTCCTGTGAATGAATAAACACTAAATTGGTGTAATCAACTGGTCAAATTATACTACATCATGTAATCTACTTGGTGACGCATTTCACAAACTTGGTCAATAAAATCAACACTACAGTTCTGAGGAGAACACTTGTTCACAACGTGAGAATAATCCAATCAAGTCAGTTCATTTGATCACCTACTAGCTATAATCCTGTCTAAATCTTGAATTGTGAACCTATTTATTCTACTATTTGTCTTAACTCCAATACACTTTCTCCTGGATTTGTGCTATTAAATATATAGTCACATCGATTATCCCTTGTTATAATTTGGTAAAATGTGATCAGTCGAACCGAAGCACTACACACTTTGCAACTTTCTCATCCAACTGTCATTAGCATGAATAAGGAGGTTGGTTGGATCGAGGAAACTTGGATGTCTACAAATATAAGTGAGAATACTACCAACCGATTGGTACAACGGATAGAATGAGAAATATAATCGCTTTCCACCTTGCAATTCCACACACTACATCGTCACTTAGCAGTAATCAGCTAGCCACAATCGACAGACCCAATTAGTCAGATGCTGTCAATATCCACAGGAAACCTGTCTCCATCAACCACAGCTCGGAACCAACCATAGGATATATTGAGAATAGTGTCAATCCACTACAACACCAGACAGAGTGACTAGATGTGGTCTGACACTTCACTGACCAACACCTCTAGATAAGTGATTGTCACTTGATGTCTCCTCCATGCAACATGTCTTGAAAGACGATTCAGACTGATTCTCGAATCACTCATCCAGTATATCGCTCCTAATTTATTATCTAATTATTTTCGTGCTTACACATATTCTTTCCATTCTACTTGATAATTTAATTTAATAACAACAGCTCCTCCAACCATTTGTCTTTCCTTTCCGATCTGTTCACACCAGTGAATTATCGTAATTAATTTTCCGATGACAATTCTGATACAAACAACAGATAAGAGAAGTTAATCTCCGAATTCTCACGGTTTATTAAAACACACTGTATTGAGCGAACACTGACACCACTTCCAAACGTACATTTCAGTGTTCTGGTGAATCGATCCTGTGGTAGGCGGCAAATAATCATATCCTAGTCAAACTCTTGTCGGAAACTTTCCGTTTATCATTACCTTGCTTTTAGACATTTTATGATACATTCAGGAGGTGGTGATTATTTTGTAAACCTTAATTTTTAGTGGTTATATTTTTTTTGTATCAAGGGGACGGAATTATTCAAGAGTACGATTATGGGCATTTCCCATTTGAACGGAACATTTTGACGTTTACCACATAACAAATACATGATTTTATAATAGTTTGTAATGATATTAATGTCTTTACAAATAGTGTGCATTAGTAGGTCTATATTTACAAACAAGTGATAGGATGTTATGCTCGGTTTCATTGTCAATTGACCATGTTCTGGTTATCTCATCGGCGTAGGCGGCGTACTGCATGAGCTTTTTTACGGATTTCTTTGTTTTCTCGAGCGCTAATTTACGAAGGATAAGAATTTAAATTAATAAGCTTTAAAATTTTTGAATGACATAATTATGTGTAAATTAAATAATATATCACTGCATTAAATTTGTAACATTATATCTGGTTCAAATGTGCTAGCATCAACTCGGTTTGCTTCGGTTTATAAGCGGAACGAAAATGATTTTTTACTTGTAGTGATTATGAGAGTGACACGTGGTGACAAGATACGTTGTGGAATGAATCAATGGGTTTTAAAGTATATCATAATTTTAAATATAAGCATCAGTGGATATATATCAAATAGATGAACGCTGATTCGAAGACACGTTGAACAAATTAACATTTATTAAACGCAAAAATTGTGACGATTTTAACTGTGATGCAGGATGATGAAACTCAAGCGCGCTACCTTATTCTGAGTCAATATTCTTTAGATTTTGAGCCCATGAGCTGATAAGCCTTTCAAGATAAACGATGTTTTGAATGAAATCACTCAATTCACTTTTACATTATGCATTGAATTGCATAGCTGAAAACAACGCTCACTGGTGGTATTTTTAACTAAAGTGCTTATGGTTTGTATATGTAGGTTCTTAGGACAGTTGGACATTTCAGTTTCGAATCCTTGTGAACCAGTCGTCAGTTGATGAGTTTTTGATCTTCCGGAGTTATATATATATATATTTCGAAATTAACGGAGTTCGTTCGAAATCTGAATTCACCAAAGCATTATTCATGCGTTAAAAAATTTGCACTAAGAAGCGATACCACATTTGTGATCAAATACTAGTAGCTGACGAGTATCTTCTACTCTTAATGGCCACATTTCGAGACCGTAAAGTAGAGCAGAACCAACTGCTGTGCAATGTACTCGTCCGTTAATTGATAGACGGATATCTCGTCTTTGTCATAAGTGACGTAAATTAGCTAAAGCCAAACGAGTATGCTGGATGCGTACAGAGATTTCGTTATACAACAACAGATTAGAGTTGATCAGACTTTCAAAATAAGTAAAGTTTTCGAAGCGTTCACTCGCTATCAGATGGGATTACGTGCGGTTTCAAGATTTTAGCTAAAATATTAATCAATATGACCGCTAAAACTGGACCTCTGGAGGCATGTGAACCAGTTGCTATCTCTCGTTTAAAGTCAGCCCTAGCTTTATTTACCTCCAATTACAGTCAGGGGGTCATTCGGACTGTTTAGAAATTTTGGGTAGCTGTAAAGTAACTGAAATGCTCCTTAAAGTGTTTCACTGCTCATTCTAAACGTCTAGACTGAGAGTAAATAAGTGTCGTCTTTTTCAGAGATTGTCTCACTTGCACATGACTACGTAATCCCAGTTTATTAGTCTGAAAAGCCGTCTGGTGTTGTCTACAGACACTGCCTTTTCTATATCTTAGTTCTGTTGCTCAGCACTGCTTACGATGACCCGTAGGCTTCCGTTTAACTTAGATCTGATTCGTTTTGTTCATCGTGCTCAGAGCTGAATGGGACAAGTTTACGAAAGTCCAACACATGTCGCAAAAATCCACTGGGTTTTCGTAACCCTTTGGTTCAAATCGCTAATGGATTTTGCTGCTGTTTCGACAGCTGTTTGTATACTTTTCCAAGCAACATCCGGATCAGTCTCCTTTTCGAAATTGCCAAAGTGTGACTTCAGTTGTTTCTGGAATATGTATTTGGCTTTCTCTAATGGATCTTTTTAGTGTGGCTTTTCCGCGTCCACTGGGGTGCAAGCAAATGCGTGCTCGTATTATAGCATGATCAAAGTCTAAACATGTACTCCAGAACGAGCGGTAGTCTTCTATCGAGCCTTTCCTGCGATAACTGATGGCTATATGGTGTATCTGAGTCCATCGTTGGTTTGGTGTAGGGGGTCGCCATGTTAGACGATGTCTCTCCTTATGCTTAAAATTTGTTTGCTAAAAATAAACGATTGTCTGAGCATAGTTGCAGCAGACGATCACCATTATTTGTTCGCTGTGTCGGAATACTAAAATATCCACCTAAATGCCTTTCTGTTTGGTTTAAACTACCTATCTGAGTATTAAAGTCACCTCCTACGAGTACTATGTCTGAGCGTTTAGCTTTCTGAAGAAGTTCGGACAGCTTTCTGTAAAATTCATCTTCCACTTCATCTGAGCTGCAGTCGGTGGGAGCGTAGGCAGAAACGACAAAAAGGCAACGACGTGTGTCCCTATCCTTCCGAGTTTTTACGTAGCCGTTTAGCCGAACAGCACATAGACGACTGTTGACGGGAATCCACTCTAGCAGTGCTTGTTCGGCCCTCATGCTTAGTGCTATGCCTATACCTGCCAGTCCACGAGAACTGGCAATCGGGTCGCCAGATACACTGAGGGTGTATCTCGTCGGCTCTCCGTTTTGCCGAGGTGAGGTCAAGTGAATGACTACAGTGGAATCCCGTATGTGTGTTTCGGAGACACAGCATACATCAATGGTAAGAGATTCTAGAGTTTTAGCCAAGGAAGCCTGCTGACCGATTTGACATAGGGTTCGTACGTTAAAGGCTCCAATGTGTAGTTTGGAGCGAGGTTTCAGTAGACCTGGGACAGTGTTTTGAGCACTAGAATCGTTGGATATGGTGACATTTGAGGAGGAAGTAAGAGAGGTAGATTAGAGTTGAAAGTCGATGTAGGAGGAATAATGAGAGTTGAAGATGGAGGTTGATTATGAATACAGTGGTCTGTTAGAGGTATGAGGGCGGTTATCACTTCCCGGTTGCCCACACTGTGGAAGGGTTCTTCTGGAGGTACCCGAAAAGGAAATTGGATTAGAGGTGTTCTAATGGACAATAAGAAGTAGCGACTATATGCACATTATTCACTGTTACTGATGTATATATTTAGGTTGCACAAAATAATGATACCGAGGTAAGTAAATTATTCAGAATACAATATTTCTTACTTGAGTTACCTGGTAAATTTTTAACTTACCCTTCGTTTGAATTTATGAAATTTGAAGGTTGAGACGAAGTTGTGAATGAAATTGTGTCACCACTCATTCTAAAAGCTGGATCGAAACTAAATACACCTGTTTCCCGGTGATTGGGGAAAGTCAAAGAAGAAGTACGCGTATATACGTTTACTGCTGCCGAACTGCTTGGATTGGATGTGCATAATAATGCATTATTTTTCTGAACACTTGAATTTATAGGGTTGGCTGAAACAAGATTATTAGCGGTTGTGGATGTGAATCTAAAACCGATGCTATTCAGTAACTGAGTTTGCTCCAAGGACGAATGTACACTAGTAGTACTACTCGGTTCAATATCTTTGAAGTCATTGTTGCTGTTAATAATACCAAACTGAGATGACAACTTGAGTTGAGGTGTATGATTTGTCTGCAAAATAGAACCACCACAAATAGATGGTTCTGATTGTTTTCCTCGAGGTGATTTACTGAGTGTATCAAAAGACTTCATTTCCGTATTGGGATGAGCTTTACGATCTTGCTCCGAATTACGAACATCATTCGAAAGAAAAGCTTCTAACTTTACCGAATTAGCAGGACCTCGAACACCAAACCCGAACTCGAAATGACCAGACGATTGACCAGTTAATTTAGATAAGCTCGGGTTATTTGTAGTTATGTGACTATTTGGTTTTCCTGTAGAGCAACAGCAGCATTTATCCGATTTCTCGTTATTTTGTACCAAACAAGTGGGGCAATCCCACACACTTGTCGAGATATTTGTAGGCCTTAAAGTTTGACAGCATATGCAATTGGTCGCATTTTTTTCATTGAATACCATGCATGTAGGACACTCCCATTGCGAAGCCTCATTGTTGACTGCTAATAAGCTTGATACTGATGTTTCCACTGTATGTACAGACGTTGGGGCAGACGATACATAATATAAATCCTTTGCATGCAGAGGGTTTGATTTTGGAAGGGAACAGCCTTGACATGCAACCCTTGTCTCTGAATTCTCCAACAAACAAGTTTCACAACGCCATGTATTATTTTCTGTGACTGAGAAAAAAGTGAACTATTTTGTAGTAATAATATTATTCACAGTAATTAGTGTTAAAGTTATGATAATTACCGAGCTATTTGGCTGTAACACTTATGGTACCGACTCCTGTTTATGTTGACTGAAAATCAGACGGTACTTTCTATTCAACCTTGGCGGCGAGTCGCAAAAGCAAGGGGGAACATTTACGCTCAGATATCTCAATTGGGTAATCAGTATAGAGTAACTCGGTGAATGCTTAACGAGTGTTAATTAGGACCACTAAAAATAAGAAATCTTATTCACATTTTTATTTTTGAGTTGTTACTATTACAATCCTTAAAAGTTATTTAATGGTTCATATATCTAAAATCTTAACTAGTAATTAACGTATATCCATAATCGACAATGACTGTTTTAATCTAATAAAATCAGTTTCTGAAGTCAATAAAATCCAGATAAGTTAATATAATCCCACTAAATTATATATGGCTTTGCATTTCTGGTTTACCAAATAGTAGCGCTTCATTAATGAAAGTATGAAGTTTAGTAAAAAATGAAAACTCATGAAAACGAAAACCATATGCAAAACACACCTCTACATTTATCATACAGTTCTACAACTTAACTGCAACAAGCGACTTCAGACGATAAAAGTGGCATAACCTATAACCGTTTTCAAAGGTGCCAATGCATTTACTGCCTTCGTTTAGTTCTTCAGCTTTGAAGAACATACATTTTTGTCCCAAAAATTCATTTTTTTAAAATCATACTGCCCATATTCGGTGCTTCCTAATAGTTTTGATACTGTTATTACTCAAAATGATCTAGCATTTGTTTTGACAATTTCATCTCATCGTTCTGAAATGGTGGTAAATTGAACTGTACAAAAGGGGCACCGAATACATATGCGCCACACAAGTCACTTGATTTGTGTGTGGGCTATGATACTGCCCGGGTGCCCAAGCCGGAGCAGGAAATTGAACTGTGTCAGTCAAACATCATATACATAGAGCCTGAGACAGATATGAGTTGAGCTAGGCTAACATACCACATTAGCACGATAAGACGGAATTAACAAGATGTACAACCAAAAGATCGGAATAATGTAGAACCAATAGTAATTAAAAATACGAAGCATTAAGAATAGGATTTGAAAAGATAGGGTATAAAGGCATATAAGAAGAAACATTAAAAGTCAACATCAAAAGTGGACGTGTTGACGCCGTTATGAACGATTCTATCTATTTACAGATTAGGTTGTGTCAATTGTGATGAGTTGGAGTCTTCCCGTTAGATCTCAACTAATTCTAAGGTGCACGGAATTTACACAAAAGTTTAAAACAATTAGTCTCTTTGCTAAATTTCGATAACGCAATAAGAAGACGAAGGTTATCAGATTTATGTTATATTTGCGCAATACAAAAAGACCTATTAATAAATCTTGTAATGGGAAAATTTACAGTTTGCATTAGCAATAGCAGTACATACTATTTTCAGTAATCACCAAAATTGAAATCAAAAATATTAAAATAATTCAAAAAGGCTTTTACGATTACGAAGAGACGAGTAGCCGAAGTGTTTCACTTAATGCTAGATCCCACTGCCCTGAATATTCATCTAACTTGGACCGTTTATCCAAACAATCACATTTGATCTTATTTATTTCCCATACAATCTATATACAGACAGAAACTCGAACTTAACCCTACTTCATGTTACAAATGTATATATTTTTTATACCATACCCAAGTTCTGAGGCACAAATTAATACGGTGACATGTTATAAAAATTCACCTTGATCAAGAATAACTTGACAATAACATATTCAGACTTTTTATGATCTTCATCGTACTAAAAATATTCTCCATTGTTCCCTTTATACTACTTAAACTTGTGTCAACTTAACCCGGTTATTTATTTACTCTGAAGTGGCTTACACCAAGTCACGAAATGTCAAAAATACAATTTTTCTACCCACTGGGACATAACAAAAATATTTATTATAAGATTTTAACTGAAGTTTGTTATCTAGTAATATAAATTGTCGATGATTCATTTGAGTGAAAACTAATGAAAATATGGAAATAAAGCGTCTAGTTGTAATACTATCAACGCATACCATCGTATCCACGTCAAATTAATTTTTGCTAAAGTTTACTGGTTTCACAAGAACATTGCTACAGCAAAGTTCTGCCATAAAATTTTATTCAGCTGTAAAGATTGGGACGGAACTACAGTCAAAAAATAATTGGTACAGATTAGGGAGTTTATACACTAATATACTCTAGTAGCATTTTCACGATTGTCGATGAACTAGTTAACAAATGGAAAATTCAGGTGTACTTGGCACAGGATCCGCATTCGATGGGCTGTTATATATGAGCAGAAAAGTTTAAATCTAGAAGGGGACTGTGAGAAATATTTTTGGTGGATATTTATTGTATACACAATGAACACTTGGTCTACGGTACAAATGTATTATCCTGATTATAGACATGCATCTATGTTAATGTTTTTTTACCGTTCATGAATTTCATTTCCTTATGTACCTGTAATAATTATGTACAGATTCAATTTCCTATATATGGGGTTATGGTTTAGTAATTGATGTATATATTGTTTTCCAGTTGTATTGAAAAAATGAGTTAGCTTATGGTTTTCATGTCTTGATTAGGGATTGGGTATGGAGAAATTCGCATAGACTGATCAATGTTAGATATCACAGGGTCCACGAATGCTCTAATATCAACGATGAGCTCGCTTTCCCTCTTTACACCCTCACCTCTTTCAAATAAATCCTACTCCCTATCTTCACGCAACTAAAGAATCATTTACGAAAGTGAGAGGATGAGAAGTAGATGTTCAGTACTTATAGAGGGTTGGTTGACAGGGTCTATTTGAGGGAAGAGAATTTTGATTCTTAACAGATGGTGTACATAGACTCTGGGATTTTGAGAGGACGAATACCGTTCTGCTTATTTATTTATTTAAACACGCACACATAAGAACAAGAAAGCATCGAATACATATACGCCACACTTCGTCATTTAATTTGTGTGAGGGCTGCGATACTTCCCGGGTGCCAAAACCTAAGCAGGTGGTTTTCCAAGTAGGCTACTCCCCGAGCCCTTGACCTGAGAATCTAATCCATAAAGCAGTGCAGCAACATCATGAGATGCAGTTCCATAGTAGCCGGTGAACAACAATAGGTTCATACGCCATTTGTTCCCTTAGGATGCTGAAGCAGTTGCCGTTCTAATCAAATAACAAACCAAGCCAGAGTTAGGTCTAGCTTTGAGTGCATCGAAATGTAGATAAGCATCGGTTATTTTCATGAAATGAAAACGGTGTTATGTTGCTTGCGGCTTACAGACAAAAATTTTCCAAGTTTCCTACAACGAAACTGGGGACAGCAAAGAATCAACTTCCTAAAATCAAGCTCAGGTGACCTACTACACATTTCCCGACGATGAACTTACGGTTAGAGAATTTTTTATCGTTCCGAAAGGTTTGAGAGTGTTCAAACATCGTGGGATGAAGTGTCAGTCGTCAACATTCTCAGCAAGTAGCTACGTAATCTATGCAGCAACTTCCAGGTGTCAAGTTTACTACAGATTATGTTCAAAGCATTGGCATCCGACGTTCTTCGAAGATGACGCTCTACAGTATCAAAATTTAGGAAGACTAAATAAGAAAATAAGTACTGTGCCGGCAAGATGGACATTACCTTTGCTAACGTAAAGCGAACTCATCATTAATTGTTCCATTCAGTGTAGACGTACAGGAGTCAATTCAAAACACAAGTAGCTTTCAGTAACTTTACTGCTTGTGGTTTTAATGGTCAGTAAGATACATATGAATATGCGAATTCCCAAAAACACGGATTCGTGGGATACAAAAACTTAATGAATGAAAAAAGTAGTATGTAAGGTATAAAAATAAAGTGAGCGCGTTCGCGTTATTGTGACCGATTCCAAGCCATGTCACCTGTCGTCTCAAACCATTAGTCAGTATAACCGCTAAGACTTCAACTAAGAAGCTGGCACCTACCATCATAATTCAGTCCAACTACCAACGTCTTCGTAAACTGATGCCACGTTTTGGTTCGGCCACCACTACCTTTATTCCAGCATACTCCACCAGAAAACCATCTATTGAGGTAGGCGGTGATTGAGCATACATAGCACCCCAACCACCTCAGTTGAAGATTTACTACTTCATCGGTCGATTTCTCATTTCTAACTAGTGCTCTATTCCTAACCCGGGCATTGATTACTGTGGTCCCAAAACACACCAGCAATATTTCGTAAACACCTATGAGCTAATATAAGTAACCTACGTATATCCCCCACTTTTAATGGTCATGTTTCACATCCATTAAGTAGAACGAAGCGAACTGCTGCGCAGTAAACTCGCCCTTTGACTGGAAGACGGATATCTCGCCTACACCACAAGTTAAGAAAGTTAACAAAAGCCGATCAAACTTTTTTAATCCGTGCCGAAATTTCATCAGATACAAGGACATCAGCACTGATAAAAATCCCAAGTGAAGCTGTCGACGCGCTCAACTACTTCACTCCTTATGATTAATTCAGAGACTGGCACAACATTTTACATTAAAAGCGAGAGAAACTCATCTCAAACATGCTAGTATTGTTGCTAAAGGTTGTTAGAAGACTGCATTTTGTCAACGTTTTCACCGAATAAAACTAAATCATTTAGCTATTCCAAGTTAACAAGGTAACATCCTGGTGCAAGATCAATACCTGAAAAGTCAGACGATGAGACGTTATTTCTGAAAGCAGGTCTATGACAAAGTTAAATAAAAATTGGAAAAGTGGACAATCCCGACGAACACTATTCCAAGTAACTAATTCCGATGACACTTCGCCATAAGCTCTAACTCAACCAGTATTGTTTGAATAGAGAGCATGTACAGAGTTTGCTTCGCCACGCCTTTGAATGACAAACACTGGGACAGAACCTCAGGACCGAGTCCAACACTCTTCTTTTATGTATTTATTTATTTGAACACAAATATTGGTACAAAGGGGCACCGAATATATATCCGCCACACAAGTCACTTGATTTGTGTGGGGGCTGTCATACTGCCAAGGTGCTCAAACAAAAGCAGGTGGTTTTCTTAAGAGGCCACACCTGGAGCCTTCGACCTAAAGGCCTGACCTACAAGGTAGTAGAGCAACGTCAGAAGATGCAGTCCCATAGTGACTGATGACCAACAATAGGTTCATACGCCATTTGTTTCCTCAGGATCCTGGAGCCCATATACACCATTAGTTTGGAATTAGTGTTTCCCAACTCCCCCTAGATTGATCCTCCATATCCACCCAGTTAAAGCGCCGGACATTCGCTTTTTGTTCTCTTAATTTCGTAAGCAACATCCCCTCCGCAAGAAGACAGTAAATAGGACGTCCATCGCGCTCAAAGAACATAACTACGGTTGACACATTACTGATTCCTATGACTGTCAAAAGAGGAATCTTGTCTTTTTTTATAAAGTGAGACGATTAGCCATCGAGACTAACCAGATGGAATAACGTGCATTCCCTAGATTTTAGCTAAGATTTCAGCTAATCTAACTGTCAAACTGCACCAGCATTCTTAAAAATCGCATGGGCTAATCCATCAGTCAGCTACAACGTAGGACCAGGCCCATATGTGCATCGGTCCAGGTTGCCATACCGCATCAGCACAACATGATGAACACCGGATTAATAGCGGTCGAGACCAATCAGGCGAAATTACTTCCAGTCCTCAGATTTCAGCAAGCCCGACCACCAGGTTAAGATAAAAGCTATGGACGGGAGAAATAAATATGATCGAATACTAGTAATCGAAGAATATTCTACCTCTAAAGTCACGTTACTCAATGCACTTTCACGGGAACTCCACCTTTTTTCTTCGTAAACTCCCAGAATATTTAATGGTAGTGTGAAACTACTTTCTGAACATGAAATCGTTTTGGACTTTGGATAGTTCTTCCAACTAGTCGTCTGTAAACACTCCGGAGTATGCAGACTAGATTCAAAGTAGTACTCAATAGCATGTTGTCACAAATCACGAGTAATCGATGACCAATGTAAGCTATCACCGATTTGTAGCTTTATTCTACTACCACTGTCTAGAAAAGGCTGACCAGCAGATATGGATGAGAAAGTGTATAGAAACTTGAACGGCAAAACAATGTTCCAGATGTTACTTGTGAAACCAGATAACGGCGACTAGAAATGATTAACCTGGCATATGCCTAACCTGTTAATAATTAAGTTATGCAGTTATAGTACAATAACAGGGTTAAACAGTAAAATCAATAAAAGACCTTATACTTGATAGTATCAAGATATACTTACTTTTTGATTTGACAGAATTACTTTCAGTAGTGATTTGTTGTATGTTAGATTCCGAACCAATTAGACCTGCCGAGCATCTAGAACACGAACGACTTGGACAGCTGAAAAGATATTCATGACGAGCTATAGGTGACACAGCAGCTTTGTGATCATGTAGAGAAAAGTTGTGAATTGGATCTGCGAATGTGTATACAGGTAGTAATTTGTCTCCTGATTTACAAGTCTCTGAGATTGAACATTCGACAGTGACATGTCTCTGTTTTTGCAATCTCTCAGGAAATACTGTTGGCTTCGATGAAACATGAGGCTGTATATGATTTTGAACTCCGTTTTCACAAAATGAATGCGACTTGCAATCTTTACAAAGAGAATCTACTTTTTCATAACTTTTTAAGAACGGTGGAAACCGATGAGATTTCACACGAGTCTTGACCTTATAAGACAGAAAATTATAACAATGAATGATTTGAAAACTTAAACTTTAGTAACTCAATATACTTAAGAAATTGTACCTAAATATTTCAGTACTTGTTAAGCAGTAAAAATGAGGTATTTTAAAAAAATGTATATCTTTTGCTCATGATCAAGCATCGATGCCCCCAGACAGCTGAAGAAAGTTATGGCCACTAATCCTGTTCAGAGAATGTCAATCAGCTAGCTACAACATAGGACCAGGCACATATGTGCATCGGTCCAAGTTTCCACACCTTATTAGCACAGCAAGATGAACACCAAATTCACAGAAGCAATTAACTCAATGGCGTAATATATAGAGGAAAGATTGCATATAACGATATATTACAGGAACAAATTAAAAATAATTAGCTTTTCGTCTACATATGATGATTCGCGCTTACTTCCGTTTTTTAATCAGAATGTTGTAATTGTGAGCTTACGAAGACCGATCAAACATAGAGCTCACGTAAGCAGGATCAAAAACCTATGTATCACAATCCTTAGAAATGATGAGGAAGAAAGTTTAATACCTAAACACTAGATTTTGTGACTTGAGAAACCAAGAGAAAGTTTTGCAATTTAGTTTCCGAACTATGTGGAATATTATTTTGTGTTAATGGGAGTAGACATCTTCAACCGCACTCAAAGTACTGATAAACTAAATCTAAACATATGTAAATAAACTACAAATTCAGACGAAACTGGACTTAAAGAAATACATACCTGTCTCACATGTCTTTGTACAGAAGACTGTAAATAACCTGAAGTGAGTGGAGCCGAAAGATTTTCTAACGTCTCGAGAATTCTCCGAGCAGTAGAACTCAAATTAGCGCTTGGGGCACTTCCAAGTTGAGAATTTCGATCTGAATATAGGTCAAATTTCAACGGCGTAGTGAACTAAAATTTAAAAAAATAGTTCCATGTATATGCAGTAACACGAACCCGACCATAAGGTTAGGATCCAATTTGAGGCAAAGCAATAGAATTTAAACTAGAGTTGATTTTTGCAAATAACCGGTTAATTGAAAACGGTCATAGAAACGTTTTGTTTTATTAGTAATTCTCAATACTAGTAATTATGGAAGATTGGTTTCGATGAGCGTCATCGGCGTTAAAATGGACGTGTCACTTATCAATAATAGAATGAAATATGATTTAGTGGTAGCTACCCACGTAACCGGACTTCTGGCTTAGAATACCTCGTAAACTAATATTGTAGTGAAGCACCGACGACAATATGTCAGTATGACTAATTATGTCCTCATATATTATCAAGATTAACATGGTTCGATGTCATAAACCATATAAGAATATTAGAACTTGTAGAACACGCGCCTGGCATGGAATCGAGAACAAAACGCTGGGCTTGGTTTATGCACATGAAACCACACACCAAACCAGACGTTATTCAATCAGTCGTAATCAACATATAACCCAACACGTGTGCAACAACTGACAGTGCTACACATAGACACGAGATGATCTCTATGAATGCTAAAGTCGTAGTCATATCGTTAATCGTAGGGAACACTACAGGTCACGCACTCTTCCAACGTACTATAGTTTAACGACAATAATCCAACTGTAACTACAAGTAAACTTACTTCGAACAACTCCCGAGCATTACGACAACTGGCAGCTCCCCCGTATGTAGTTCCTAAACGAGAACGCCAAGTAGATGAAGGACTAAGGTTCGGCGTTGTGGACAAGCGCTGGCGTTTTGGTAAGGGATAAGGATATGTTTTGAAGTCACTCCGGGAGGTCTGGCACGAAGGTGATTGTTTACAACAGGTTGTTTTTAATGGGTTGCACACTGCTGTGTTCGTATAGCTATCTGAGCACAATTCCATACGTTGAGCCGTAGATCTACTTTGGCCGTTTTTGCATCCCAATACCCACGACTTAGGCATTAACGATGAAACTCCACTCGTAGAAAAGGAGTGGAGGCTGCATTCACTTTCTGATTTATCTGTGGCATCAAGGTCAACATTCGTGTATCTCAAGCTGTGTTCCTTATAGCCCCATGCTTTATCCTTGGGTCCTGGTTCACTACAATGATCAAGAACATCATTGGTCCTTTTGAGGTTAGCTCTCAAATCTCCTTTAAGTGGGTCAACCGATTTCGCAGGAGAAACCTGGATAGTGGTAATGGGAAACCCGATACTTACATTAATTGCCGGTAAAATCGACGATGGAACAAACCCTGTAATTGAATCAGCAATTCTGTGAAATAAAGACTGCAATGATAGTTTTAGAATGAAGGTAGGAAGAAGATGAACATACCCTTCTGTGGATTTCCGAAACCATATCCTATGATCTCAGTCGGCCCACTGCCAGCTCATGCAGCTAAACAAAATAAGCCTCAATTGTCAACGATATGTTCATTGTCAATTGAATAAGCATAAACATCCGAAAAGTTTAAATTATATCCTTGAAATAAAGGCCCTCCTTTTACTGCTTTGTGGTGCTTACTATGTCATGATGGCTCTACGTTCTCCATGAGCCATCCATCTGATGATCTCAGTTTCAGTTTGAAAAGTACTGGAGGATTGATGGCCAGTGTTAGTCCTGGCAATGATGGTCTCTTAGTTGATCCGACTTTCTTTTGAAAGAGTTGACGAGTGGAGCTTCAACCAAGTGTTGAGGTAATGAATCTCACTCGTTAATGATTCTATGGGAAAGTCGATAGCTGACAAGTAATTTGTTTCGGGCTTGGAAACTCGTAAGTTCTCTGTTTTGGAAGACTAGAAGAATGAGAGCATATCACGTGAAAATTCATCAGTAAGCAATTTGAAAACTGTACTTAAGTCTCCTCTAGTTCCTCGATATGACAACGGGAATAGGTTTGTCTTGGCCAGTCGAGCATCATACGGTAGGTTTGCTATTCCGGGAATCAGCTTAGTTGCTGTTCTCTGAACCTTCACCAAAACCTCAATGTCTTTTTCTAAGCAGGAGCTAGCCGCTTGTATGCAGTGATTAAGTTTAGGACGCACGAACACTGTATTCAAAGTCAAAAATGGTTTAGCGCCGACATGACTAAAGGCCCCACGTATTGACCATAACGTTCTGAAACCTTTGGCGGCTATTGTACGGCAGTGTGCAGTAGTCTCTAAGTCTTGGCTAACGATGACTCCTAAGTCATTATATGTCTGGACGACAGGTAGTTCAGTGTCATTTATCGTGTATGTATCTGTGCCTTGATGACCGATATGCATCGCAACACACTTGGAAGTATTTATCGGCAACTGCCATGTTTGAGACCATTCAGATAACTTCTTCAGGTCATTTTGAAGTTCTAAGCTATCACCCTCACATCGTATCGTTCTCCATATCTTGACATCGTCAGCATATAGCAAGACCGATGATGATAGGAGACAAGGAAGGTCATTTACATACAAGAGGAATAGCACTGGCCCCAAAACTGTACCCTGGGGCAATCCACTAAGCACAGTTTCCCAGCTAGATAACTTTGAGTTCACCCGAACTCTTTGTTGACGCCCAACTAAGAAGTCTTTTATCCACATAAATAGATTGCCTCCAATCCCGACATTTATTAACTTATATAACAGCCGGTTGTGCGAAACCTTGTCAAAAGCTTTGCTGAAATCAATGAAGGCTACGTCTACAGGTAACTTTTGGTCCTTAAGAGCGCACCAGCTTTCACGAGCCACTAATAAGTTAGTGAGACAAGAGTAACCTATTCTGAAACCGTGCTGCTTCTCCGAAAGAATCCGGTTTTTATCGAGATAATTAAACAGCTCCTTCCGAATAATCTTTTCTATGATTTTAACAGCCACATTAGTTAGGCTAACGGGGCGGTAATTCTCAGGTTTGTGTTTCGTACCTGTTTTGGAGACAGGACTTACTATGGCGTTTTTTTTCAGTCTTTGGGTAAACGACCCTGCGTTACGGATAGGTTAAAGCATATACCTAAAGGGTTCGCAACGAAGTTAGCTAATTCCCTTAGTAACCTAGGATGCAGTTCATCGGGTCCCGTGGATTCGCCTGGCTTATTTAGCAGACCAAATACATAGAGTTCCACGCTGTCCGGTGTTTGTGTGGAGGGATTTTTATGAACTGATGGGAGGGTTGTCTCTATGGTATATACATGGCCAGAGTTGTTTGAGAGTACTTGAGCTTTACCAAAGTCGTCCTCTACTAATAATGAAGCAGTACTGTCTCCCCATAGTGCTGGAATATTTCCTCTTCTTCTTGTCCTTTGGTTTACACACGAATACAGGCGTTCAGAACATTCTATGGATTCCTTGACAATTTTCTCTTCGCACAAGCTTCTAGACTTACAAAGAGTAGCTTTTCGATACTGAGATTTTGTCTCATCAGTCCCTAGTAACCTAAATCTATCCTACATTTTTCTTCTCTTACGGAGACGTATGCGAACTTCCCTACTGAACCATGGCGGGGAGTTTCTCGGCCCCATTGGTGTGGTCCAAAAGATGTAGGGTGCGGTAACTTTTAAGTATAAATATTGAAGGACGTCCCGAGCCGTTTCATTTGAGGACTCTGGCTCTATTGTCCAATCCACTGACGATGCTGAATGTACCATACCTCGCATATTTGATTTCCAGGCGTTAGGTCTGAATTGAGCTGATGCGTGCTCGTCTTTGACAATTATAAATAAATTATCAATAAAGGCCGAAGAAGGCGAATTTTAGCTGGCCCCAAAGAAGACTGGCATGGATGAGCTATGTTTTCTGCATAATTCCATATATTTTTGTTTTTTGGTAAACATACAACACATAGTTTGGTGATTCTTTAGAAAGAAATACGAGAAACAAACTAGTTTTTTGAAGATTTTTGCTTCACGTACTTCAACATTGAAATTCAGTGACATTAGCACAAGAGATGTCAGTTTTGAGTTCATACCCTTTGTTATATCTTTTGAAGTGTCTATTAAATGAATAATCTGATTTATCTTAGTTTTACATCGTCACATGCTCTCAGTACTTGCTGTTTTGGGCCATTAGAATAATGGTGTCCTACTTTTATATAGATCTGTTGGCATATATAAGAATTGCTATCATTAGAAGTTGATCGAAGCGCTGTAAATTCACTACCACCACACAACAGATATTTATGTCACTATATTGATAGCATGAAATACCGCTACCAAAGACGCAAGTTATGGGTGTATTTATTTGCTTACAATGGACATTTGTAGCTGCGAATAAATCCTCACACAGTTTTTGGCACACCAACTATCTTCCAAATATGTCCTTAGGCTTCCTTCTTCTTGACTTCCGGTCCTCAATTATGTTACGAGCATGAGTGTTTTCAATCCCTGAATGCTCATGAAACCTATATATGCTTCGTCTTTTGAAAATGTTACTTGATAAAAGTTTTAGCAACGATAATACTGCTACAAAAAAGAGTAATGGCTCGGTCAAGATCATTGAACGGCGACACAGCTAGGCACGATTATAAATGCAGACGACTGAGACTTAAACTTCGAATATCACTGAATAGAAAAAACAAACTTATTGTTCCGTAGAATATTCACCTGGGTAGTAATGTCCTTAATTTAAAGAAGATATAATTCTTGTTCTATTCTACCGGAACCAAGAGGACGGAAATGGTGATCAGTGATGAAAGTGGTAAACTTAGGTAACACCTGAACCACTCTCCTCTGAAACTCTTTAGTTACGAGACCTTTATGACTTCATGAAGCTTGACATATAGACTGAGAGCCAGAAGCAGATTTCAGTCTTTATCTAGCAGTCTTATATGCTTATGAAATTTCTAAATCTATCACTTGAAAGGAGGTATAGATCATAGTGTACAGAAACACTCAGCTTCCTAAACCGTAATCTATGCGACCTTATTTCCTCTCTAGCAAAGAATAGCGATGCATATGGCCGAAAATCAGTAACTAAAAAGACCTGTTACTTTTTTTTACAAATAACTATGATTGCAAAATATACAGCACACCTGGGCAGTTTGAGAAAAGTCGATCAATACTTCTGGAATTGGATAGAATGGAACTATAAAAAAACAATTACAAAAATGCTAGGAAATACTTAGCTAATTACTTGTCAGAGAAGGACTATATTTCTGCTGATCAGAGAAAATGTATCTACGTTACTGGAAAGATCAATTTAATCCATTCAAAACTGAATAGTCAAACTGTAACCAAAGAGCTGAGTATCACAAGGACTAACTGCTTATCAAACTTAATGGACGAACTAGAAATGCACTTCATTTCAGAAAAAACCCATTCATTTCAATTAGTTTTAGCAAGTCCAACTGAAAGTCTGTGGACCAACATGACAGCCTCCATAATCAAATATCAAGTGAAACAAAATCTGCATCTTCCAGTGACTATCAAAATGAGAAATAATACAATGAGAGACGCATAACTGTAAGTTAGCCTCAGCACTACCTTTACCTGAATTAAAGATTGAGTATGATGTACAAAACAACGATGCATTATAATGAAAACTTAGTAATAACGAAGAAAAAATGCCGTTGTCCGAGAACGTGCATATTGGAGGAATGTTTTAACTCTCATGCAAACCCGCACACTTATGTATTTAGGATTTAACATTTGTTTTAGTAGCTATGCTGTTGTATTGTATTCAGATAAATTATGGAACTTGTAGTGGCATTGGACAATAGCCACACAATCCACAAAGCTGTGAACACGAGACTACTCAGAAAATAAATATTCAATATTTAACGCCGAGAAATACCTAAGAATGAAGAAGGCGCGAACAATGAATTGAATGGACTGGAGTTGATCGAGTGGCATGGCTCGGCCATGCAGGCGTGGTCTCTATTCATATTAAATATATTGTTCCTTCTCTAACCTAACCTTCTTATATATCATGTATTGGTAATTGATACGATACAGTAAGTTGGTGTAGTCGATGGTGTGACTTCCACGTAAGATCTTATAGATTAGGCAGTTATATCATGGCAAATCGACAAGTTTAGGATTAGGTCTATTATTAGAGCAGTACTAATATCATAGTAGACCATAATTCTACATTGGTGAGCCCGACTAGAAAAACGCAACCTATTATTATTAATCCTTATTTCCACTTCAACTTTCTCTATCGATTTTATATTTATGTTAACACTGTATTCTAATAGTCCTCTGATTAATGCTCACATGCATTATCGTAATGTTATATTGATTAGTCCTCATGACAAACTAGCTCAATCGATAATAAAAACTGGTCGTCTATATTAACTAATTAGCTTTGATGGTTTGTTAACAAGCTGTAATAGCATTTACATGCTTCAGCAACATAGTCTTGTTTAAACATCAAGCTCTAGCAAATATGACCTGTAAATAGCGTAAATATACATTGACTAACAATGCAATCAAGGACTAAATAGTTATC